GAGCTGTCCAGAGCAGGCAAATTCAGAGAAAGAGAGAGCAGATTAGCCATTGCCAGGGTTGGGGAGGGAAAAAGTGACTCATAATGAGTACAAACTTCCTTCGGGAGCAGTGACCCTACTCTGGAATTAGTAGTAATATTGCACAACATTTCAAAGTGTACTTAACCGTATATTTTAAAGGGGTGGATTTTATGGTACATAAATGATATCAATAAAAAGAGAGCAATCCCAGAGCCTAGCACTCTGGCTGTCCCCTTCTCCAGCCTCCACCACTCAGGGCCATGCCCAGCCTCAAGTCAGGTGCCCAGCCAGGGTTTCCCTAGACAGCCATCACCTTGCTTGGCCACCCTCCCCTCCTTTAGCAGAACTGAGGGAGCAGCAGAGAAACAAGAACACTTCACCAACTCCTCCCCCACCCCACCCCCGCCTCCTCCTCTTCTCTTCCTTTGCCTCATGGGAAGCTGTTGCAAACCCACCAGGGATATGGCATCACTGTCCTGTGGAACAAAAGGAAAACAGAGGAACCATGTAGGTTGGGGCGCAGTCCTGGGATGTGTTTAGACTCAGCTTAGTGCTCTCTTTCCTGCTGTTGAACTCAGGAGATGTGTCAGGACAGGATTAGGGTCAGGGTTGCCGTCCTCCTGAGGTGGCTGCATGAGTTCTTCCCACTGGCTTCCTTTCTTTTCTCCCTCATTCCTGTCTTTCCAGAGCACCTCCTCTGACACAGGCTTGCACTAGAGACATGGATGCCTAGGACACATGGCCTGTAATCTCCACAATGATGCTGTGATAGTTGGGTACAGGTAACAGAGGCTGGTTATAGCATAGAAAGATACAATGTCTTGGGAGGCACAGATTTGACCCCACAGTGCACTTATACCTGTCAACACATGTGCAAACATTGGTCCACTTGCCTAGAACTGATCCCCACACTCACTGGGATATTTCTCTATAAACAAATGTTCCATTATCAAGGGTACACTTATTCATTTGTTCATTTATTTATTTGAAGTTGTAATGTGTTTCTGTTCAAAATTCAAAAGGGAATCAGAAAGCTAAGTATGAAAGTTCCCATTGTAGGGCTGGGGGGATGGTTCAGTTGGTTGAGTGCTTGCCTCACAAACATGAGGACCTGAATTTGATCCCCAGAACTCATGAAAAAATCCCAGGTTATGATGACCACTTGTAATTATATCATTGGGGAGGTGGAATCAGGAGAAACCCCTGGGCTTTGCTGGTCAGCCAGTACAGCCTCATCTGTGGGCTTCAGGCCACTAAGAGACTGTTGCAAAGGAGGTAAATGGTGTTCCTGAGGATGACACCTGAGGTTGTCCTCAACCCAGAGAGAGAGAGAGAGAGAGAGAGAGAGAGAGATAGAGAGAGGAAGGAGGAAAGGATGTGGAAAAGGAAGGAGAGAGGGAGGGAAGGAACAGATGAAGGAAGAAAGTCTGCAGTCTATGCCACATCTGTCTCCCCGGTTTCCATCCTTGGAAGCAGCTCTGACAATCACTGTTTGGTATAGCCATGAGCCACTGTTCCCCCTTCTCCAGAGAGAGAGAGAGAGAGAGAGAGAGAGAGAGAGAGAGAGATAGAGAGAGGAAGGAGGAAAGGATGTGGAAAAGGAAGGAGAGAGGGAGGGAAGGAACAGATGAAGGAAGAAAGTCTGCAGTCTATGCCACATCTGTCTCCCCGGTTTCCATCCTTGGAAGCAGCTCTGACAATCACTGTTTGGTATAGCCATGAGCCACTGTTCCCCCTTCTCCACTCGGTTGCCATGTTCTGCACACACCATCCTACGCCTTGCTCACTTAACAAGCTATCGTGCTGTCATCCCCCCACTGGACGGAGCTGCTTCGTACCCCTCTGCAGCTGCAGCAGTCCCCTGTGTGCCCATTTCCCAATTTGTCTAGACAGGCCTTGTTGGTGGATGTCTGAGTAAATGCCAAATTTCTGAGATAACCAAAAAAAGAATCCGATGCTTCCATTAATAGAACTGCTCAGATGGTGTCTGGCCAAAGTGCCAAGCAATTCCTTAGGCTAAATTCCTCAGCAGTGGGATTACTGGGATGAAAGTCAGTTCAATTCTTTTGATTTTAGAATATTTTCCCATTGCTTTCATGGAGGTACAGAATTTGCTGTCATAGGCAGAGAATGAACACTTAGAAATAGCAAGTACATGGAGCAAAAAATGATTTTAAATACCACCAGGGGTCTGAAGAGATGGCTCAGTGGTTAAGAGCATTGGCTGCTCTTGCAGAGGACCTGTATTCAATTCCCAGCACCCATGTAGTATTGCTGTTATAAAACACTCTGAACAAAACCAACTTGGGAAGGAAAAGATTTACTTCAGCTTACAATACAGTCTTTCCTCAAAGGAAGTCAGGGCAGGAGCTCAAGTGGGGACGTAGAGCCAGGAACTGAAGCAGAGACGATGGGGAACACTGCTTACTTGCTTGCTTATCTGGGTAGGGATTACCAGAGATGGGGAAATAGAAAATAACTCATAATGAATATGTGCTCTGTGCTCAGCCTGCTTTTTTATACAACCCAGGACCACCTGCCCAGGGGTGCCATCACCCATATTGGGCTGGGCTCTCTCACATCACTCAACAATCAGGAAAATGCCTCATAGGCATGCCCATAGGCCAGTCCCATAAAGGAAATTCCACAATTGAAGTTCTCTCTTTTCCAAGTGTGTTAACAACTGAAGCTATCCAGCGCATACATAAAATAAAAAAATAATAATAAAACCCACCACCAGGTGCACTCTTGAGCAAATACCTTTCCCAGTGAGAGAAGCCAGCAGTCTGCGCCCTGTTGGGAATCCCACCATCTTAGAGATCCCCTTTGCACTAGTGGAAAGGGCTGGCCTCATCTGGGAAGGCAACAACCCCTCCATCTGTGGCTCCTGCAGCCCTCCTACAGGACCCTGAGATGACTCAGAGGGTCTGGATAGATTGTGTGTGTGGTGGGGGTCTGCAGAGGTCAAGGATGGGAGGAGTTGAAGCTCTGTAAGCTCAGGACCCCATTCTTGCTTCCATGCTGCTCTGAGGCTGGCTGCCAGGCCTCTGCGATCCCAAAGGCAGCAAGAAGAGTCCCTAGGGAATCACCCAACGTAAATCTCAGCTTGTAGACAGAAAGAACTTTCACCCTAGCAAAACTGAGCCCAGTGGAAAGGGTTACCTCCCCCCCAACAAAAGGACGAGGGGTGTGAAGTCCCTGCTAGCAATCCTACCAGGGAGCCTCCTGCCCAGGGTTAGCTTCCAGAGTGCAGGACACTGAGAGGCAAAGAACATGGCAAGGGACTGGTCCCCTTATAACATGGTCTCCAGCAACAGTCTTTGAATTCAGATACCACTCATGAAGAGCAGCATTTGTGTGTGTGTGTGTGTGTGTGTGTGTGTGTGCATATGTGTGTCATGGCCCATGAGTGCAGGTCAGAGGACAACCTCAGGTGATTCAGATACCACTCATGAAGAGCAGCATTTGTGTGTGTGTGTGTGTGTGTGCATATGTGTGCATGGCCCATGAGTGCAGGTCAGAGGACAACCTCAGGTATTGGTCCTCGCCTTCCACCTTATTTATGACAGCCTCTCTTCATTGTTTTCCTCCTGCATATGCCAGCCTAACTGGCCCTCTAGAGCAGCCCTTCCAGGGATTCTTCTGTTTCTGCCTCCCATCTTGCTATAGCCACTCAAGCTGTGCATCTGTCTTATGTGGGTTCTGGGGATTCAAACTCAGGTCCTCAAGCTTGTACAGCAAGTGTTTCTTTTTTTTAAATTTATTTTTATTTCATGTGTATGAGTGCATTGCCTGCATGTATGTGAGTGCACCCCTGTTGTACAATGCCTCAGAGGTCAGAAAAGGGCTTCAGATTCCCCTGGAACTGGAGTTAAGGACGGTTCCTAGCCACCATGTGGGTGCTGGGAATCAAACCTGGTCCTCTGCAAGAGCAGTCAGTGCTCTTAACCATTGAGCCATCACTCCAGCCCCACAAGTGTTTCTTTTTATCCACTGACTAAACCATCTCCTCAGCTCCTTCTGCCCCTCTGTCCCCACTCCACTTCACATAGAAGTGCCTAATGGCATGTGGCTCTCACTCCCTCTCTGGTGGTCACTCTTGGGCCCTCGACACTCAGGCTTGATCTGTCAGTGTGAGTCTCTGCCCTGGCCCAGGAAAGACAGTAGACAAGATTGGAGTCAGGGTCTGGCCTTGAGACAGTAGAGACACTTGCAGGGCTCAGGGAAACCAGGGGAGTCACAGGACTAGAGCCAACCTCTGTTGGCATGTACTTTTAGCCTGACTGGAATCTGCTGATCAGCTCTGAGCACTCATTCCCAGGGTGGATGGACCACCTTGTCTTCGGAGTGAGGTTAAGGCGGTTAAGGCAGGGCTTCCAGACCTGAAGAGATGGCTCATCAGTTAAGAGTACTGGCTGCTCTTGCAGAGGACCAGGGCTCGCTTCCCAACATCCACATGGTAACCGACAACTATTAGTAACACTCCAGTTCCAGGGGATTCAGTGCCCTCTTCAGGCTGAGGTGGGCAATGCACACATGTGGTGCACTTACATATGCAGGCAAAACCATTCATATGCATAAAATCAAAAAGAAATTTTAAAGACAGGGCTCTCCTGGATGGTAGTGCCTCCATGTGACCCTCCCATCCTTCACATCCTGTCTAGAAGCTGGGAATTCCAGTCCCCTCTCACCTGAGTCTCTCAGCACGTGGGACAGGGCCTTCTGGGGACAAGGCCAAATGTTCCCATTCATAGATAGCACTGACATGAACAGCTTGTCCAAAGCCAACACCAGGTTTGTGACACAGCCTGTACCAAAGTATCACCAGATGCTGACCCCACCACGCCTCTCTCTCAACATGTCTAGTTGTCTGAGTTATGAACCCGAGACCCAGAGCTCTACAGTGGCACTAGTGAGTGTCAGAGTCAGGACTGGCATGCAGGTTCTGCTGTGGGTCACCAGTTCTTTGTCCCCCGCAGCTGATCAAGACTGCAGAGCTGGACCCTTCTCGGAACTACATCGCGGGCTTCCACCCTCATGGAGTACTGGCCGCTGGAGCCTTTCTCAACCTGTGTACTGAGAGCACTGGTTTCACCTCACTCTTCCCTGGCATCCGCCCCTATTTGATGATGCTGACTTTGTGGTTCCGGGCTCCCTTCTACAGAGACTACATCATGTTGGGGGGTGAGTCTCCACTCCTAGCCCTGGGTAGGTGGGGGAGGGGGTATCTGAGGGAGGGCTGCCAACAGTTTTGTGTTTTTTCCCCAAGACCGTGTGCCGTTGGTGAAGGAGGCTAGACCCAAAGAAGAACTTCTTGAAGGACTATGCTCAGTACTGAGCCCATGAGGGGGTGGGAAAGTGGGAGGACTCAGTGACTCCCAGCTGGAATAGGGTACAGTCGGGGCCCAGGGCCTCTGTGGACACTACTGATGGTCTCTTTCTTGGGCCACACCCATCCTCACAGTCCTGCCTAGTCACCCCTTATCTGTCCACCTTCCTCTCTCCCCAGGTCTGGTCACATCAGACAAGGCAAGTGCTAGTCACATTCTGAACAGGAAGGGTGGTGGGAACTTGCTGGCCATCATTGTTGGGGGCTCCCAAGAGGCACTGGACGCCAGGCCTGGAGCCTACAGGCTACTACTGAAGAACCGCAAGGGCTTTGTCAGGCTCGCCCTGATGCACGGGTATGGAACTCTGGGGAGAAAACCCTGGGTTCAGTTGGAGGTTTGTATTTTGGTGGGGAGAGAGCAAAGATGAATGCAGATTCTATTTTGGTAAGGAGATTCTCAGGTCATACACAATGAAACTAATAATTTGGTGTCTCTTAGTCAAATTCCTAGAGGTTTCCCAAGAAATGGGGTTGGGGAGGAGGAGGAAATCCATTGGACTAGGTAGAAGTGATGTGTTTCCCAAAGCTGACATGAGAGCTGAGACAGCTGGGATTGGGACAAGGGATAGGAGGGTAGTGCAGGGCTGCTCTGCCACCCTGTGGAGAGGCATCTTTCAGGAAGTTGCACCAGCTGGGGTAAGAAGGAGATTTTTCTGGGAGAAAGGTTAAGATGTTTTACATCCAGGAAGATGCTCTGGAACTTTCTGGTTTATCTGTCATGGTAACCACATGGGAGACTGGAGGCCTGAGAAGGCCCACCAAAGGTCAGAGAGAAGTCAGGTAGGTCTGGGAATAATCCAGGCCTCTTCCTCCTGGTCCAGGCTTCTGCCCCCTGCTCTAAGTCCTGGCCACTGAGTCCCTGCTAGGTGACCTTCCTGTCTGTGCCTCCCTAGGCTCACCCACACATTCTGTCTTATGTCCCCTCAGGGCAGCACTGGTACCCATCTTCTCCTTTGGGGAGAACAGTCTGTTTAACCAAGTTGAGAATATCTCTGGCTCCTGGCTGCGCTGTGTCCAGAACTCGCTACAGAAGATCATGGGCATCTCTCTCCCTCTCTTTCATGGTCGCGGAGTCTTCCAGTACAGCTTTGGCCTCATGCCCTTCCGCCAGCCCATCACCACTGTAGGTGAGCAGAGGTCCTGGCTGGGCAGGGCAGGCTACAAGGAGAAGACCCTGGATGCTGCCAGGGAACTTGGAGATGGGCTAGACATGTCCCCTACCTTGTGACTGAGTACTGATTTCTCAAGGAGAGGGCAGGGGACCTGCTGCTGTGTGTCAGATACCAGATGGGGATGGGGATGAACACAGAGAGAGAGAGAGAGAGAGAGAGAGAGAGAGAGAGAGAGACAGGAGAGAGACACAGAGAGACACACACAGAGAGAAAGAAAGACAGAGAGAGACAGAGACAGACAGGAGAGAGACACAGAGAGAGACACACAGAGAACGACAGAAAGAGAGAGACAGACAGGAGAGAGACACAGAGAGAGAGAGAGACAGAAAGACATACAGAGAGAGAGAGAGAGAGAGAGAGAGAGAAAGACACACACAGAGAGAGAGAGAGAGAGAGAGAGAGAGAGAGAGAGAGAGAGAGAGAGAACCCTACCAGAAGGCAGTATGGAATAAGAGCTGGAACAGACCAGACACAAAGATACTAAAGGGCTGAGTACTGATTCTCAAGAGGAGAGGGCAGGGACGTGTTAGACACTACACTTGCCACCTGCTATGTAGCTCCTCAGTTTGTCCTAGAAACCTTTGAGGCAGGGAGTATAATTTCCATTTCATTTGTGAAAAATGAGGCTCAAAGAAGTTAAACAGCTTCACAAAGATCACATCTTGTTGGGTAACAGAGGTGAGGTTGGAACTGGAATCTATCTGACGTTTTGTTAGGCCAGAGAAGAGGGTTTAATTGTGACCCAGAGGATCTAATGAGACTTACAGGGAGAAAGTATAGATCTTGAAAAGCATTCCGAGTGTGTTAAAAATTGTGTGGGATGGACCAATCAGTAAAGTACTTGTTAGGTCAGCATGAGGACATGAGTTTGACCCTAGCACCCATATAAAAGCTAGGCACAAGGCACAGGGGTAGGACCCTGAAATCCCAGTGCTAGGGAGTCCAAGACAGGAGGATCTTTGGGGTGTGCTGGCCAGCCAACCTAGCCATGAGTCCCAGGTTCAGTGAGAGACCCTGTCTCGAAAAATAAGGTAGAGACCAATTGAGGAAAACACCTGACATATACTCCTGCCTCCACACGCAGGCACACACATATGCACACAAACACATACATAAAAAAGAAAAGAGAGTCAGGTGTGGTGGCGCATGCCTTTAAACCCAGCACTTGGGAGGCAGAGACAGGTGGATCTCTGTGAGTTCAAGGCCAGCCTGCTCTACACAGTGAGTTCCAGGACAGCTGGGGCTACAGGGAGACCATGTCTCAAAAAAGACCCCCCGAAAAAAAAGAAAAGAGAAATTTAAAAAGAATATTCTGTGCAAACTAGCAATCAATAGCCTCCAAATTAGACGCCAGGGGCCCTTCCTATAAGAAATGAACATGAGCTTTAGTGCATAGACTTTTTTTCAGCTATTTGTACACATCTTTTGTTTTCTTCTTGAATTCTCACTCTGACATTTACAGAAAGAGGCCTCCATCTCAACTCCATTCATCCACCCACCTCCCCATTCATTCATCTATCCCTCCATCCATCTATTCATCCATCCATCCAGTCATCCATTTCTAAATCAAGCACAGACTTGGAGACCCTTTCATCACAGCTTTGCTGGGTCATGTGACAATGCTCTCTTGACTTTGAATGCTACTGCGGTCTCCAGAGCTATTCTCGAGAGGAGAGAACAGGATGCTGCCTTCCCAGTCAGGCAGAATCAAAAGTTTTCTGAGGTCTTCCTGATTCCTCTCTGTAACCAGGAAGCACTTCAGGTTAGTGTGCATGGCAGTCAGGGGAGAAGAGCTGCCTGGGCTGTGACTTCCCCTTATTCTAGAAATGTAGGCACTTCCAATTCTGACATCTTGAACTCACAGAATCACATATCCTGGAGGTAGAGTGTGCCCCCAGCAGTTAAAACTTGGTACTATTTCCACCTGGTTACTGGGACAAGTTTCTTAATTTCTGAGCCTTGTTATATCACCTGTCAAGTAGGACTAATGGCAGGTCTGGTCTGCATAGGGAGAGAACACATGTAAAGTACAGGCATATTGCCCACCACACTGAAGATTGGGTGATGGTACCTAAGACTCTGGGAATGAGTGGCCCTAACATCTTAGAATTTAGCACCCGAGGGCTGGGGAGATGGCTCAGTCAGTAAAACACAAAGATGAGGATTTGAATTTGATCCCCAAAACCTGTGACAAAAAGCTGGGTGTGGTGACATGTGCTTATAATCCTAGCTCTGGGAAAGTAGAGACAGGAAGATCCCTAGGGCTCACTGGCCAGCCAGCCTAGTGAGCGAGCCTCAGGCAAAAGAAAGACTATGTTTCAACAAACAAGGTGGATGGCATCTGAGGAATGACACCCAAGATTAACCTCTGGCCTCTACATGCTTATACATGCACATGAACACACATGTGCACACACATACACATACACATACACACACACGGGGGAGGGAGAGAGAGAGAGTGAGAGAGAGAGAGAGAGGAAGAGAGAGGTGGGTATCTGAAATTAGGGTAGGAAATGATGACAGTGGGACACCTGCTTGTGGGATGATCATGGGGTGGCACATGCTCCCAGGACCCCTGTGATCCCAGTAGTTCTCACTCTGGGCTACTGTCCCTCTCTGTCCCTTGTAGTGGGGAAGCCCATTGAGGTGCAGATGATACCGAAGCCATCAGAGGAGGAGGTGGACCAGCTCCACCAGCTCTACATCAAGGAGCTGTGCAACCTCTTTGAGGAACACAAGCTCAAGTTCAACATCCCAGCTGAGCAGCACCTAGAGTTCTGCTGAGCAACCCCAGCCAGAGGAGGGGCTGCCCCAAAGGGCAGGGCCTGCATTCTCAAACCCATAGGAGGCTCTGTGATTGGAGATGGCTTCCCAGAATTGTTGCTGAACACATCTCTACAGGATCCCTGGACTCCTGCAAACCTAGCCACAGCTGGCAAGGTGGAAGAGAAGGCAGCCCCTGGCTCTGGGATTTACATGCTGGCAGCTAAAGCTCTGAGGCCTCCCCTTGACCCCCTTGGCCTCTGCCTGCCAATCCGTGGAATGGGAAAGAAGCAGGCAGAAAATCATTTCTGAGGTCTCTGTCTACTGTCGTAATATCACTCAAAGATGACCAAAGGACATCCAGGGGGAAGGAGAGCACAAGGTTCCCCTACCCTTGAGTGGCCGTGCAAAAGAAGCCAGCACCCAGACCTCTCCTCTGTGTGCCTCTCATCTTACACTCGGGACACCCTTTCCTCCCTGAGCTGGAGACAAGGGGTAACCAGTAAGCCCCACACCCACCCAGGTTTCCTTCCAGATTATGGGTCCTCTGAACTATGGAGTGGCCATCAGAAGGGACCAGAAGGTTGGTGACAGAGCTTAGTCACTGACTGGGTATGTGACTGAGAGCAGGTCTTCCCTTCCTTTGGAGTTTCAGTTTCCCTAACCTTGATGATCTTGAGGTCTCAGTTCTCATATCACACAGGCTCCATTAGGAAGTCTCTTACTTATGTTTGTAACAAACTTTAGCCCCAGCCTTGGTACAAAAGGAGGGATCTTCATGGATCACTTCAATAAATGAAAGGATTCTGTTTTAGCCTCCTCTCTTCCTTTCTTTCTCTCACCCAAGGGAACTGATTGGAGCCTCGGTGTCAGCCCTGAGCCTGGTTCTTGAGCCCTGACTCACCAGTGGCTGGGTCAGACGGGGTCACAGCTGGTCTTTCCTTCCCTGATCCATCACCCTGTTTGCCGCCTTGGAAAGGAAGGGGGAAGGATGTGCCTGTGAGAAGACCAGTGCAGAGAAAGGCAGAGGCGAGGCTGTGTCACTCACCTCTAAACCTCAGTTTTAGCATCTGTCAAATCAGAATCACGCTATCCACCTCCACTGCTGTGAGCAGCTTCCTAGTCACTGAGCCATGCCACATGCTTTGTGGAATGCTGCACAGTACCTGAAAGTTAGGAGTACGGTGACACAGGTGCCCAGTGTCTCATGCTGGTACCAGGTATCGTAATGTTTGGCAGTGTGAGACAAGGGTCACACCAGGAAGAAGGCACTGAAGTCAGACAAGGGAGTGCTAACTTCTGGCCCAGGGAAGACTTGGAGGAAGTGGCCATAGTCAAGGTCTTGAAGAAAGGGAAAGATGGTGAAGGAGGGAGGGAAAGCCACCAACTAGTTGACTATGTGCTCATTGCATTATCTGCTGCTGAGTCAAAGCCACCAACTAGCTGACGGCAGCAAGGAGTTGTTATTTCTTCTAATTTTATGGGTTATTTCAGCTCTGGTGCAGCAGCATTTGGGCACATGGGAGGTGAGGCTGGTACAGCTCTGTATGCCAGGATGGTAGGGCCTCTCTTCTCGGGTGGAGGGCTCTGGGTCTGACTTCATCCTGACTGCCTCTGTAGTACTTGGTGATGACTGGATTCCAAAAGAATGAGAATGCTAGGCCACACAGCATGCAGTGTTGATTCTACCATGTTCTGTGGGTCTAAATTAGTCACAAGGCCAGGAATAAGAAATAGACTCCACCCTGAGTTGGACGAATGACATCACATCACGTAAGGGGTTGGATTCAATGAAGTTCTTGAGGACATTACTGCCAAGAGTCTATCAAAGCTTTGAAACTGAAAGTCTATGTGGAACCCTTCTCCCCACCCCCTTTGTGTGACCATGATAAAACCAGTGTATCCCAAGAGTCCCAGTCAGCCTGGCCTCTCTGCCCATCTCCTTCTCTCCCTCCCTCTGACATTCCACTCTCCTACTTAAAATCCCTTAGTGGACCTTCATTGTGCCAGGCAAGATATGTGCCAGTCTGGGGCCCAGCAGAAACCAGAGGACAATCTGAGGAGAGTGTAATAGAAGAACACTTTTGGGGACTCATGTAAATCAGGCTGGCCTTGATCTCACAGAGGTCTGCCTGCCTCTGCCTCCTGAGTGCTTGGATCAAAGGTATGTGCCACCACGCCCAGCAAGGAACAACTTCTTGAGGGACATGCATGGGGTAAGAAACCACAATGGATGACATTGTAAGCTATGGCTGTGGCATTGGGTACTCTCACCACTCTGCAGCCTAGAAGGACAAATGGAGGCAGCAGGTCCCTAAGCCAGGGATGCAGGCGGCTTGGAGGGACCTGCGTGGCAAGAGCAGGAGTGTGCCAGCCCTCCCTATCTCCTCCCTTTCTTCTACTGATCAAGCCCAGGGGAAGCTGGAGGAAAGCTGAGCCTGTGGCTGTATCCAGGCAGGTAGAGTTACTGGCACAGGAGCAGGACAGGACTTGGAGGGATCAGTAGAGGACAAATGAAGTCCATCTTCAAGTCAACGCAACCCCACTCCTGTCCTCCACCATTCCTGCAAGCTCATTGCTAGCTAGCCCTTACCCCAAGCTTCTGTCCTAGGGACCACTCATCCACACTCAGTGTCACCTGTGATCTTGCCCATGCTGTCTCCTCGGACTGGAATGCCGCCTTCCCCTCCCATTACCTTCCTGTTGTCTGGGTAATTCCTCCTCGTTCTTCAGCTCTGATTTGTCTATTCCAGGGGAACTTTTCTAACTCCCTTGGGTGAGAAGCGTTCCCTCTGGTTTTTCCGGACCAACCCCTTCCTTTGCTACAGCTCTCGGCACCCCACAGACACTCAGCATCACCAATAGGACTTGGGCCCTCTCTCTCTCAAATAAAACCCAACTTTCCAAGGTCCTCTTCGGTGCTTAGGATGATTACCACGCCCCCTTATCTGGCCTTCAAGGTCCTTATCACATGTCCCTAAGCCTCACCTGTAGGGCCATTCCTCGCAACCCTTAACCTCTACACCCTGCCTGCACTGCATCGTGGGGTGCACCTCTCCTGTGCTTGCCCCATCTCAAGTATGCTCCTCTTTCTCTTCCAAACACTCTTCCTCTCTGACCTGGCCAATGTCACTTACTCCCAAGTCACCTCATATGTCTTGTGTCACACTTCAGGCTACCCCATCTGTTCTTCTGAGTCAGTGTGGGCCCCCAGTTCTGGGCTGGCTGTGGGAGAAAAAGGATCATGGTCACCAATACGTGAAGGGACTTCTATGTCTCCCAATGGATCGGAAACCTGTGAGAGCCAAGACCATGTGCCTACATACACACACACACACACACACACACACACACACACACACATGGGGGGGGGGAGAGGGGGGGGGGGAGGGAGAGAGAGAGAGAGAGAGAGAGAGAGAGAGAGAGAGAGAGAACTGGTGTGCCTCAGCATCCCTAGTAAGTAGAATTGACCAACTGGCTGAATATAATAATTCTCACACAAAGGCTTTGGCTCAATTCTGCTGGGCCTGAGGTAGGGATGAGAGGAAGACCTAGGCTTTTGCTTCGGAAGTAATTAAAATTGTTAGTTATTGCTGTCTATGAAAAACCATTCCAAAATTCAGATGCTTTAAGAAACAGACATTTAGATTGACTCACAGTTCTTGAGGGAGGGCATCTGGGAGTGACTTAGCTGGTGGCTCTGGCTCAGGGGTCTCCTGAGTGGCAGCCAGACTGCTGGCTGGGCTGTTCCTTCCAAGGCTTGCACAAGGCTGGAGGGTTTACCTCCATACTCATGTGACTGTTAGCAAGAGCCTCTATTCCTTGCCGTGTAGGCCTGGGCATCTCTTTGGGCTACAGTGTCATAGCTTCTAGAACAAGTAAGTGGGTAGAGTGGCCACCTGCCTTTTATGACTTCTGAATTACACTGCCTCAGTCTGTTGGTTAGGTGTGAGTCACTCAGTCCAGTTCATACTCCATCTAAGGATGAGGACAAGGAGTGGTGGATAGCTGCCACTGTGATGGATGAACCTTCAGACACTGGGCTACTCCAACCCTGTGCCACAGCATGAGGCTGTCTAGAAGGCGCTAAAGGATGGACACCCAGCTGGCCATATAGAAAGCATGCAGATGGATGGAGCAACTCTTCTTCTTCTTCTTCTTCTTCTTCTTCTTCTTCTTCTTCTTCTTCTTCTTCTTCTTCTTCTTCTTCTTCTTCTTCTTCTTCTTCTTCTTCTTCTTCTTCTTCTTCTTCTTCTTCTTCTTCTTCTTCTTCTTCTTCTTCTTCTTCTTCTTCTTCTTCTTCTTCTTCTTCTTCTTCTTCTTCTTCTTCTTCTTCTTCTTCTTCTTCTTCTTCTTCTTCTTCTTCTTCTTCTTCTTCTTCTTCTTCTTCTTCTTCTTCTTCTTCTTCTTCTTCTTCTTCTTCTTCTTCTTCTTCTTTTTGACAAGAAGGGGGGCGGGGGAAAGAAAGAAAGAGGACTAGAGGGAGGAAGAAGAGGAGACCCACCACCGAGTGCAAGAAGGATGAAAGCAGGTTTTTATGGGAAGTGAATAGACAGACACATAGAGGAAAAACCCATGAAGCATGTGTAAGATGCCGGTCAGAGGATCTAGGGGAAATGTCTGTTTCCTGGAGATTTTCTGTGAGCCCTGCTGTGCTCCAAAACATGCAATGGATGCAAAGAACAGCGACGAGGACAAGCACCGCCACGGGACAAGGATGGGTCAGAGCAGACCCAGAACTGGGGCTGTGTCAGTGTGTGATCACTGAGCATGGCTCTTGGTTTAAGCTGGACTATAAATTCAATTACTTACTTGAAATGAATTTAATTCTCAAAGGCAACCAAGTCGATCAGGGTGGTTTTAAGAGTTAAATGTCCTTAAATTTAAAATGAAGACAATCTTTCTATCAAGAACTCGGCGAGCATTGCCAAACCTGACACAAGCATTGGGCAAGTTGACGCGTCCAGTCCTTATAGAGCTGTTTTGGTGAGTTGGGCGTGAAAAACCCAATGAACGAAACACCGAGGAGGGAAAAGGAAAAAAAAGAAAAGAAAATCGAAAGGAAAAAGAAAAATTCAATTGGAGGATACATTTGAATTGGTATTTGCAGATGTGTTTTGAGGAGGGGAAAACCCGCGTTGCCCAAGCTCGATTTCCTCCAGCCTCCGCCTCTTCAGCACTCCCTGCCGGCGTGCGCCGAAATAGCCGCGAGGGTGGAGTCCGCAAGAGCCCTAGTTGACGGCGATTGTTAGCGTCATTTTTCAGGCTGGAGGGATAGCGCAGCCGTTAAAGGCTAAGACTAACAACCAAAACATAAAAGTTAGCATGTTTTGGTGAGTTGGGCGTGAAAAACCCAATGAACGAAACACCGAGGAGGGAAAAGGAAAAAAAAGAAAAGAAAATCGAAAGGAAAAAGAAAAATTCAATTGGAGGATACATTTGAATTGGTATTTGCAGATGTGTTTTGAGGAGGGGAAAACCCGCGTTGCCCAAGCTCGATTTCCTCCAGCCTCCGCCTCTTCAGCACTCCCTGCCGGCGTGCGCCGAAATAGCCGCGAGGGTGGAGTCCGCAAGAGCCCTAGTTGACGGCGATTGTTAGCGTCATTTTTCAGGCTGGAGGGATAGCGCAGCCGTTAAAGGCTAAGACTAACAATCAAAACATAAAAGTTAGCATTTTTTTTTATTTAATTGTGTGTGTGTGTGTGTGTGTGTGTGTGTGTGTGTGTGTGTGTGCATGTGAGTGCAGGAGGCTAGAGGCATCAGATGCCCTATAGCCTCCAGCAGCTCTTTTTAAAAGGCTTGTTTTTTTTGTTT